GCATCCCCGGCGGCATCGAGCCCCAGCAGGTGCCTCAGATGATCACCATCACCTTCAACGGCGCCGTCAACGTGGACAACATCGACCTGTACGAGGACATCTTCAACGGCCAGCGCCAGAACCCCAACGGCTGCTCCATCAAGGGCACCTTCTTCGTGTCGCACAAGTACACCAACTACTCGGCGGTGCAGGATCTGCACCGTCGCGGCCACGAGATCTCCGTGTTCTCGCTGACGCACAAGGACGACCCCAACTACTGGACCGGCGGCAGCTACGACGACTGGCTGGCGGAGATGGCCGGCTCCCGACTGATTGTGGAGCGTTTCGCCAACATCACCGACGGATCGATCATCGGCATGCGCGCCCCCTACCTGCGCGTGGGCGGCAACAAGCAGTTCGAGATGATGGCCGACCAGTTCTTCGTCTACGACGCCTCCATCACCGCCTCCCTGGGCCGCGTGCCCATCTGGCCGTACACCCTGTACTTCCGGATGCCGCACAAGTGCAACGGCAACGCCCACAACTGCCCCTCGCGAAGCCACCCCGTGTGGGAGATGGTGATGAACGAGCTGGACCGTCGCGATGACCCCACCTTCGACGAGTCCCTGCCCGGTTGCCACATGGTCGACTCCTGCTCCAACGTGGCCAGCGGCGACCAGTTCGCCCGCCTGCTGCGCCACAACTTCAACCGCCACTACAACAGCAACAGGGCTCCCCTGGGCCTCCACTTCCACGCCTCCTGGCTGAAGTCGAAGAAGGAGTACCGCGACGAGCTGATCAAGTTCATCGAGGAGATGCTGGGCCGCAACGACGTGTTCTTCGTGACCAACCTGCAGGTGATCCAGTGGATGCAGAACCCCACCGAGCTGAACTCGCTGCGCGACTTCCAGGAGTGGAAGGAGAAGTGCGACGTGAAGGGCCAGCCCTACTGCTCTCTGCCCAACGCGTGTCCGCTGACCACCAGGGAGCTGCCCGGCGAGACCCTCCGGCTGTTCACCTGCATGGAGTGCCCCAACAACTACCCCTGGATCCTCGATCCCACCGGCGACGGCTTCTCCGTCTAGGGTCTACTCTTCCCCCTTTCCAAACAGGAGAACAACTCACAGTAGTTCCACCGAGAGTCTGATAAACTAAACACTGAAAGCCCTAACAAACTGTACAAGCGAGAATATGTAGTGAGCCATCCACAGAAATACTCAATTTGTTGCCTCTTGCTTCTTGTGTGATCCCAACCAGTTTCTTTCCGCTATTATTTATGTGATTTCCTGTTTCCGACTCCCACCTCCAGCTGTCCTCCACTTTCTGTCTATATCTATCTACTATATATCTTCCCTAAATCTATCCCATCTGTCCCACTTCTGTTGATTTTAAAAGTGATTTGTTTTAATTTACTTCGCTGCTTCTTTGACCAGCTCAAAGACTTTTCACAAACAAACAAAACCAAGCGCCAAAAATCGCAGCAGCAAAAATATCTTCGTAATTGTATAAGTATTTTTTATAAGAAAAATATAAAAAATATATAAAAAAATTAAATTGCAAGGGTGTTTTAATTGAGCGGCTGTCAAGGGGAAATATGAATAATTAAAAAGACGGCTTAGTTTGGTAGTACTACTTCATACATTTTATTATCGCACTTCCGATTTGCACTTTCTAGTAACTGGAGGCTACGTACTCGTTAGTAAATTAAGTTATTAATTATTATATTTATACGCACGCTTTGCTTGCAGGTGCAGTCGATTCTAAATTTTCAATTATTTATACTAATTAGAAAATCTTCGTTCAAAATAAATCAATCAAATAATTCAACTAAATTTGGTAGTTTTAATTTGCTTAACAATTATCCTGTTAATTCAGAAATAAAGGTAAATTCACCCTATCAAAGTTCAGGAAAATATCTTCGATAACTGCCAGGAAATTACAAGAACTATGCACTTTGAATTGCAAACAAATCGCACGCATAAACGTTTCCTTTAGTTTTCGATGAAATTGAACCCAGGTCACTCCAGATTAGAGCCACAGACGCACTTGCTGATCCCAACTGGTGGAGGCTAGGCACATGCCATTGGGGCACAGGCTGATGCAAGTGATGCGGTTCTCATGACCAGACAGTGTGCCTGCGGAGGAATGCCAAGTGGAAAGGGGAGTTAACAAATCGATGTAAGTCAAGAGCCAGTCTGAGCATTATGCTACCCAGTGCCAGCCCCATTCCACATCGCGGAATCCGCCAAGTGCAATGGATACCAATCCCCTGTAGCCAATGCCCACTACCCAATACCTCATACCCAATACCCACCCGTGTGCCGCTGCTTCATCGTGTCCCACGAGTGCACGTTGCCCTCAATGCCGCCGCACATGAGGTAGCGCCCGCTGGTCGATAGAGCTAATGAGGACACGAAATCAGATTAAAACCTGTCAAAAGTCAAGGCGACCGAGGCCGCCGACTAAGACGTGGAACCCACCGCACGAAGTGAAGCCCGTGTTCTTCTGGGGCGGCTCATACAGCGCGATTTGCTGGTCCGACCGCAGGTCGTACATGCGCGCCGTCTGATCCTCCGAGCAGGAGGCGAACCCGAGGCCATTGGGATGGTACTGAAAAGATGAAAATAAGGACATTTTTATAGGAAACTTTGTTAAATACAAATTAAATTAAAACGATGTTTATTTTTATTATTTACATATGGGATAAAATGATTTTTTAGGTGTCTAAAAGTATGCAACAATATATTTGTAGTTATTTAAAATGATTTCAATAAGAAATACGACTATTCGTTTTTCACTGCATACTTTTAAACACCTAAAAATGTTTTCAAAATTTTGGTGATTTGTGTGACTGCCTCTTATAAATATGATTTTGTTGATTTAATAGCTTTATTTTTAAATTCCAGCTTTCTCGATTTCATGTATACAAATTTAGTTTAGTTTAAAACAGAAAAATATATTATAATAAACAAACTTAATGCTTTTATAATAATAAGGAATTATTTTACATACCTACCACATAGATTTTATATATACCAATTCAATATCGATACTATCAATACCTATTAAAATTGTTTTGTATGACGAATTATCACTTATAAACAAACTAAGTACTCTAAAATGAGTAGCGAGTATAATAAAAAAAAGGATTTTATGTCTTATACATAGTTAATAGGGGATTTTAGGAAATACTAAACATATTTACTTACGCAGACGGAGGACACGTCCATGTCATGGCCGAAAAACATCTGCTTGTGGCCTTCTTCGCGTACATCCCACAACTTGGCAGTTTTATCCACAGAGCCAGTGATATAAGTCTTCATATCGGGCGACAGCGATAAGCCAGCTATATCTCCAGCATGTCCATTGAAATCCATCGTCTTGACGCCCTTCTCAAGATCCCAATGGCAGCTGTTACCGAGGATAATAGTCACATTCGCTGTTAGGCATTTCAGTGATATCATTTGTAGTAACTCACATTTTCATGTCACCCGAGCCGGTGATCAGATGGCCGTCATCCAGGAAACGGCAGGAGCTGAGGAATCCCTCGTAGCCCATCAGCTCTTTGACCATTTTGGCCACTCCGGAGGCATCTCGGTTGTTCACGTCATAAACGGTGCACTGGTTGTCCATTCCTCCGCAGGCCACGAAGTTGCCCGAGGGCGAGAAGGCCACCGTCATCACCCAGGCGGATCGCAACGGGATGATCTGCACCTTATTGGCGGTCCAGGTGTCCCAGATGATCAGCTTTCCATCCAGGGATCCCGTGACGCAGTGGCGCGAGTCCCCGGCAAAATGCACAGAGTTCACCTTGTTGATGTGGCCCTTGAGGATCTTCTTCGATGATAATCGAATCTTGGGCACATCTCCCATGTCGCCGCATTTGTCAGCCAACGTGCAGTCAGCTTTCGCTTTTTGATCATCCTAACAAATAAAGGTGATGATTTTTTTGGTTAATACAATTTTTTACTATATTCCCTTTGCTTTGGTTGATAGGAAAGTGCACAATCATGTGTATTGAAACCAATTAAGATGACGAAAAGTGAAAAAGTATTATTCAATTTACTAATTATCGGTTACGTCATTTTACGAATAACCAAATTTTTACTCTTGTTGTCCCAGTCTTAATAGATAAACACTTAAGAGTCCCGGAAAAATGACTTGTAAAGAAAGAATTGTGCAGAAAAAGGCCTAAATGTTTAATATTGTTGCTATCATTTCTTCTTCTTGGTTTTAGATATCTTCAAAAGCATGACCTATTGAGAATTCAAATCTTCAAACGAATTTAAAATTTTTTACGTCACCTACTAAAAAAGGGGATGATACATTTAAATTCCAAATTGGGCAAAACTAACGAGTTTTTCAACATGGCGACAAACCAAAACGTAAAATATTGTTACACAATTTTGACAATATTTTATTTTTATTTTCATATGATGTTCTTTTTAATTCCAATTTGTCAAAATGAAGGTTTTAAATATTATAATTTTAAATTTTCGATAATTATTAGATTTGTATTGTATTTTATATATTCATATTGTTTTTGTATTTTTCTTCTAATGTTTTATTCGTTTGGTAATTCAGTTAGTAGTTCAATGTGTATCTCAAGGAACTATTCACCTTAAATTTCTGTATCATGCCATTGATTTCGTCGTAGAGTTTTTGTGTTTCGGGATCAATTTTTGGCATGATTGAGCATTAATTAAAGGAAGACGGGAGCAATATTTGCCAGAAGATTATTTATAGTTTTAAACCGCACCGCGTCGCACAATAAACTGAGTGTTAAACAATTTGTTTCGCTTGCTTGTTATGATGCTTTCTTTTTTCCTTAGAGGTAATGCAATTAGCTAATTGGATTAGCCGTTAAATACAAATATATACAAAGGAACATTTTGGCGCCAAAAATCAAAATAAAATGTAAAGCGGGCTGCCAACTTAGCAGAATAAACGGCTCTTTTACAACACTAAGCTGATTAGGGTGCCAAGACGGCGACTGCTAGATGTTCCCCAATATGAACGAGTCGAATCTGGTCTCTCTAATTACCCAGCTGTTCGGTCACCTCATTTTTGTTTTTCCTGCTTTTATTTATAAAAATTACCCAAATAAACACACCGACAGCATGGACGCGAAGTAGTAACGCCATGGAGACGCTGCCATGTGCCAACCAGCTGCAGGAGCACCAGCAGCCACAGCAGCAGCTCGTGAATCTCAGCATAGACGCGAGTCTGGGCGAGAATGTGGTCAGCATTCCCAAGGAGCTGATCCTCATCTCGCTGGTCTCCCAGGAGCAGTCGCTCTACAACCCCAAGCACCCCAACTACCGCAGCACCAAGACCAAGGACGAGAAATGGCTGGAGATCGGCAGCAACGTGGGTTGGTCAGGTGAGTTGGTCCCAGTGGTTCCCCCTCAAAGATTACCCCAATTCTCTTACGCAGATGTGCAGTGCAAGTCCAAATGGAAGGCCATGAGGGATCAGTACTGCCGGGAACTCAAACGCGCCAAGGCCTGTGCCAAAGCGGTCAAGTGGAAGTACTTCAAGGAGCTGGACTTCCTGCGTCCATATGCGCTGGCAAGGAAGTAAGTTGGGGAGGCAATCGAGTAACCTAAATTATGATCTCCGTAGCTGAACACCCTGCTTCTAAATATAAACTTTCATAGGCAGAAATATATCAGGAATTTTCACGCCTTTTCCATAGAAGTTTGACCACTTCGAAACACTTTTATATAATACAAGTTTACGAACAGGTTTAAGATCTTCGGATACTGCTACCAACTGTGACTTATAGTATTTCACTATGTTCCTTATTCTAGAAACCATTCTATAAAGTATTTACTGAACTTTGTCTAAGAATATTATGGGTATATGCCGATCATCCCTCATTTTGAAGTACTTGGAATATTGACCTTTACTTAGATACCTATAACTAACCTAAATTCCTCAGTTACAGGGGAAGGTCTGGACAAAATACTAATGGCATCGTCTCTACGACAGCACCCATATCGCTGCCAATGACTACATCTTTTAGCAGCAACAGCAGCAGCCAGAACCTCAACCTCTCCGGCAGCATTAAGATTGAAGATGCCAGTGCCTCCACACTGCTGGATAACTGCAGCTTCAGCTCGTCCAGTTCTGCCGACAAAAAACCCGCAGCTAATTTCTTGGCCAGCCATATTGGAGCTGTGTTGCAGCAGCCACAAATGCAGACGCAGCAGGAAAGCAGCTGGAACTATCTGACCGATGCGGGTGGCGGTGCTACTCCTTCAATCATAGTGCAGTGTGGATCCGCTAATACAACCACTGTGGTAGACACTCTCTACAATGAAATAGTGGACTGCGTGAATGCTGCCAATCAGTCAAACTCGACAGCAACGGTAACCTCGACGGTATCCGGCACTTCAGCAGCGCACAATCAATCGACTAATGCCGAGGAAGAGGACGACGATCCCATACATACCTTCCTTAACATGGAGAGCTACTTTGAAAAAGAACTGATTACGCTGATCCAGCAGGAGGACATGATCTACAACTACGGGAACGAGAACTATCGCAATGCCAAGCTCAAGATGGAGGTTTGGGAGGAAATCGCCAGAAAGCTGAAGAAGTCGGGTATTAAATAAATAAATACGGTGATTGACCCAGATTAATTATCTGCATTAACTATTTCAGTTAAACAGTGTCGGCTGAAGTGGAAGGCTCTAAGGGACCAATATGCACGAGAGCACAAGCGACTAAGGACACTGATGCACATAGACGCCACTTCGCGTTGGAAGCACTATGACTCGCTCAGTTTTCTGCAAAAGTACATACAACAAAAGACGCTGTAAGAACGCTTTTGTGATTTTAAAAAACTGTCATCCCAACTTCATTCATAACACCAATACATTTCCTTATTTAACTTAGAAACTTATATAACTACTTATATAACTACTAATAATTATTTACAACCTTTCAGGGATAGCGATGCGCAGCTCAGTATGCTGCTACCCAAAAATGACCCAGTGCGAGAACTGGAGGAGCAGATGGTCCACTCCCACTCGCCGCCCAACCAGCAAAGCACATTGGAGTCGTCCTCGTCGAGCTCCCAGCTGAAATGCCCGCCCTTCCTCATTTGACGGGACCACACAAGGCCGAGCAACAACAGCAACAGCAGGAGGAGCAGCAGCAGCAGCAACAACAGGCCAGTGAGCTGTGTGTGGCCACCTACGACGATATGGAATCGAGAACTACATCAATGGGGATGCACATCATGATGACGAGGAGGAAGAGACGAGGACGAGGAGATGGAAACCACAACGGCGGCGGAACAAACTCCTCAGCAGCAAGAGCAGCATGTAATGACTTATGATCACGACGATGGACCCGTTTACATGGCTGTTCAAAGCGTAACGAGTTCTATGGCCAAGCAAGAGACGCTTAGCGAAGGAGCCACCAGCCTGGAGCAGCAGCAACTACAATCACTGGAGAGTATCAAAAGTTGGAGATACAGACTCCCACCACTCCTCGTTACCAGAATGCTGCCACTACTCCCAGCTCTACTTCCACATCTCGCTACCACTCGGCGCCCATCACGCCTAACAAACCCAACCACATGGAGTTCCCTCCTAGCAATGGCCACAATTCTGGGAGGATGATGAAATTGGTGCGTTTTTCAAGGCAGTGGCCATGAAGATACGTAATGCTCAGCTGGAGCCGGTGGCTTTTACCGAACTGCAAATTGAAATTCTGCGTGTCATTAACGAGGCACTGAGGAACCACTAGCATCGCTAGTATCCTCCAGCTACCTAGAGAAGAATAAGAAGCTTGAGCGGACCATCAACGGTTTCAGGGCGATTCATCGTAGATTTTAAGTGTTATTTCGAAAGTGTTTTTCTAATTTCTAGACAAGTTGATACTTTTGTAAAATTTCTTTTAAATTTGTGAACTTTTAAAATCGATTGCTTAAGCAGCTCAAGGGCGAAACTTAAAATGTTACGTGTACATAGACCAAAATCCAACAAAAACGGAATGAAATAGTGTTTATTAGCTTAGTATAATTCTTGATCTGCCGGATCCGGAACTAAAAATGCAAACTATTATTTAAATATTTGTAACCAAATCAATTGTAAACAATTCGTACAATGTCAAAGCAAAAAATATATATTTTTAAAACAACTATGGAGAAAGATGTGGAGGTGGAGTTAAATTTAGATGGGTTATGAAATCTCTTATTGGGAAACTGAACATTTTCCAATAAAAGAATGCTTTGTAAGAATGCTCAATGTATTTAATTGTCTTAGAAAGTAATTGGAATATTCAAGTCAAGTTCCTACAATAACATGATTAGTCATATGAGCTACAAAGGCATTCTTAATGACACATTTTATTCAAAGCTGTCTATATTTTTTCATAGTGTGTTTCGTAAGAATACACCTAGAAATGTATTCCGCGAATTCAACCTCATACAGGGTATAGAAATCAATGTATCTGGTAGTTAGAACTGGTAGTTGATGTAGCTTGCTTTTGGGTAGTCCCCTTTCCCAGGGCGCATTCTGGACCAGGAATTCCCCGTTCACCCACATACAACCCCAATCCACACCCTGCGACGATTCCCGCAGCTCAACACAAACATTTAGACAAACGACAAAGCGTAGGAGCAGCTGCCTTCAAGTGGAGCACTTGCAGAGGCAACCCAACCCCCAGATCCACGCCGTACATAAGAGTACGTACTCCCCATGTACACGTACTATATAAATTTACACACATAGCTCTCTGCTCGTGCCACCAAAAATGGTCTCCTTTGGCATTGGGCAGAAACCGGTTCGAGAGACGCATCCAATGGGTGGACTGTTCGAGTGAGACAACCGTAGTGCCGCCCATATATAAGTCGGAAAACGGGGGCGGTTCCAACTGGGAAACACTGGGTGTGGCCATCCCCGATGTCAGATGGCACCAGCTGCTACCTGCTGCTCCGTCGCTGCTGCAGCCGCTCGGAAAATTTATGTAAAAGTGAAAATTTTTTAATAAACATTTTCATTTTCAGGCGGAAGTTCCGATTGCCGGGGCTAATCAGACCTAGCGCACTTCGGCATCTGGAAATGGGAAATATTTGCCATGGGCTCCACGCCTGATTGATTCCTTTACCATATGGCCATTGCCAATTGCCATTGGTTCGGTGGTTTGGGCCTTGGTTCGGTTTATTCTGTTTGCGCTTGCAATTTAATTTCCATTCTTTGCTAAATGGTTGAGTGCGCGAGTTTTAATTAAAATTATGTGGGTTTGGGTTGGTCGTCGATGGGGACAGGTGGACTGATTGGAAGGGACTAGACTATTTGAAATATTCATTTTCGAAACAGAAAGCACATAAATTGAATATTTATACTAATTATTATTTTTTGTCAAATATGTAAAAATACAAATTTCTATGTCATTTTTTTATGTTCTCATTATTGAAACGTAAGCTCTTCACTTATACTATATATATTTTTACAAAAATTGAAAAATATTCTATTATACAAATACAAATTTAATATACTACTTGCCAGCCAGATTACTTTATGGTAGACAGACACGTTTTGCGGACATGGCAGATGGACTCGGCTGTCTCTTTTACTTAGTTGCAAACTATAACACCCTCTGCAAAAGTATAATTAGATACAGTAACAAAATGTACATTCGAACTTCTTAACTCAGATCATTTTTTAGTCGACCTAGGAGTACCCTTTCACTGGATATTATTATTCTGCTGTAACGAGGACTTAATGAGTCGATCAAGTCATGATCACTTGCGCGATGCCACCCAAACAATTCTCTCATCTTAATGCTACAGTTTGACTTCCATCGCTTATATCCTAGTCAACCATGTAAAAAGTTCGAGTTGATGTAATTTAGTTTTAATTTTATAAATTTAATTTTTAATTCATTTGTGTACATAATTTGGATTATAAATATTAATTTTGCTTGAAGCCACAGCCTGTTGGCTTAAATAAACGCAGTTCAAAAAAGACACCCATATACTAACTAATATATAAGTTAGTCATCTGTAAAAATTACTTCAATATACACCTCATTTTCGACTGATAGAACTCAAAATGCGTGCGGGACAACCATTTGGTTCAAGTTATAGATTAATTATAGTTATAGAAGTTCGACTTACGGAGACTGCATTGTATGAAATTGTATTGTATGCAATAAGGTGCTAAAGGCTACTACCAAAGGATTTTATTCGGAAAAGAGAAAATTCGAGTTAGAAGTTCGAATAATGAAAGTTCGACAGAATTGCATGAGATTCAGAAACTGTTTATTGCAGCTAGAATATACAATAGTACAAAGTCGAAACGCGCGTAATCGGCCCGTTAAGGAAAAAAACATATCTTTCCCTAAAAAAAGTTAGTATAACTCAAATATAATCTTTCTTTTTTTATAATTTTAATATGATAGAGCTGTATATAATAGTAAACCTCCTCAGTTTTCGCCATATATTAGTTTGATCTATTATGTATATGTTGTATTTATAAGAAATTAAAGACTTACAACCCCGATTAAATCAACCTGTTATAAACATACAACTAATTTGGACCGGTAAGACTTAACTTATTCAACATCCTCACAACTTGTTGCACCATTTATATCATCCTGCGGACACCTTTACCATTTTTCAAAATGGTAAACTTAAATTCCATTTTCAGCCTCTGAAGTAAATCCGTAATAATATTTATCCTCACTCACCTTATCGCATTATGGGACCTTTCCCTGCAATTTCCAGGCCACGGAAACTATTTTCGCGGCTCATTTAACGGGTTCGTTCTATCCGAGAAGAGAAATCATAAAAAGCACATAAAAATCCACATTTTTATTGCCTGCGGGCAGCTTGTAAGTATCACACTTCAGCAGGACACAGTTCAGACACAGTTAAACCAATTTGCAACTCATTCCAGAAGGCGCCCATCCTTGGCATTAAGTATATCAAATTTGCCACGATTACGGAGACGCCTCACCGCATTCACGCCCAAGGGCTGGCCCCGAAAAAAATGGGATGGAAGAGGAATACATTCGAAACTCATTTCCTGCCTGAGAAGAATTATGAAAAATTCAAAAAGCTGGAGCCGCCTGCAGCTTTGGGTCAGGAAGATGGCCAGATAGAAAGACAAAATGCTGACAAACTGTTGAGTGAATGTGGATGTGGATGTGGATGCGGCCCCAACTCCTTTCGCAGCAAACTGTTATCATAAATAAAGTCAAGCCAAATGTCAGCGACAGGCCTCATATCATAAAGCAAATGCAAGTGGCGCAGTGAATCGGAATCGAGGCATCGGCATTCAGTTTGGCCGAAACCATTACGATTTATTGTCCGATATGCGATGCACTTTTCCCTCCAGCGGCCGAACTGCAAAACTGCCCAACTCCTTTTCGCTGTCTCTCTGTTAAACTGAATTGTTTCCGGGAACTGAGCCAGCAACAATGGCAACAGCAAAGCGCTGAAAAGCTTGTAAAACATTTGTAGCAACTGCGACTCGAGAGTTCGGACCCGGAGTCCCCAGTCCCCAGTCCCCAGTACCGAGTTGGCCAATGGACGTGCCACTGGCAGCTACTGTTGACCACGTTCACCGCCGAAAATGTTTTATTCATAAAGCTTAGCGACAAGATCGTCGCCCGTTCGATGTTGCTGCCGGGCCGCTGATGTTGCTGCTGTGTCGGGATGTTGCCGCCGTTGCCGCCGTTTTGCTGCTGGTGTGTGGAGCTGGGTCCGAGGCCAAACCTATGCTAATTCCACATGCAACTTATCAGCCGACGCGCATCTTGTCAAGGAGCTTTAGTGTGCGGCTGTTAGAAACGGCCTCGAAGCCAGCTCCATCTCATCTCCACCTCCAGCTCCAGGTCATCTCCATCTCTGTCTCCATAACCATATCCATCTCCGAGTTCGGAAACTCGCCGAGGGGTGCTAATCGCCAAATTTACAACTTGATGCAAAAGTTCGCCCCGCAAATGGGCCAGAAAACAAAACGACCGCACTGCCAAAAGTGGGTGGGGCTGGTGGGCTGGGTGGGTTGTTTTCGGGTTCGCCTAGCCAAACTATAAAAATAAAGGGGTGTGGAATGGGTTGCCGCCGGGAAGTGTCCACACTTTCACTCGCCCCGAAAAGCAGGCAACGGGAAACGTAGCATTTGAAAAATGTACTTTTTTCACACTCTTCTGGGGCCGGATAAAGGATACAGAAGATGGTGGGAAGAACTGGTGGCACACTGGGTCCAATTAAAAATCCATCCATGGTTATTTTATTTATTAGTTTAAATATTTAATTAATTCAGTTTTAAAAATAAACAGTGTTTGACATCTGATTCGTGAAAGTCTTTAAAATATATTCCATATAATATAATTTTTACCTCTGAAATACACAAATTTTCACTTTATGTTGTAAATTAAATTACTTGTCTCTTGATTTTTTCTTTTAATATGTACCCAAGTGACAGCCAATCCTTCTAAGATTCTTTTGAATAAGTTTTAAACTTTATTATCAATTTTAATTAACAAAAAAGTTGTACATTTACATTTTATTTTATGTAATGTTTTTGATTTATTTTTACCTCATACTTCTCAATTTGTAGTCCCACTGTTCCACCCCTCGCGTGGTCTATTTTGGGGGTACGTTTCGTTCCACAGTCCAAGCCACATAGTGTTAGTTACAAGACACATAACACTTTGTTATGCGCGCTTGACAAAGTTGGGCAGCGAGACAAACAGCGGTAAAAGTGCTTAGTGCCTTAGTTTAAAGCGAATCGCATCCTTTTTTCTCTCCGGGAAAACAGATAAAGCGCACATTTGCGGGGTGGAAGTTTGTGGATGTACCTAACGAATTGGGTGCTAATATGGTCAAAGCATCGCATGGAACACAACTTTCTAATGCTCAACTGGGGTGGAGAAGTTTCGTGATTTTTTCGTTGTATTTTATTTTTAAATTTTGAAGATTTGCACATGCTGATAACGCGCCAAAGAATGGAACAAATAAATCTCAGACAAAGGAAACGGATAACGGATATTTGCGGAATTTGCAGACACGTGTGTGGAGAGCGGAAGGCATTTGGGAACCGTTTAGCGGGGTGACTTTCCCGCATATGCCGCAGGATATCCCAAGAACCATATGGTGGGGGAAATTCGGGGAGGGGTGTACGGGGTTT